GAGCGCAGGCTCAATAGCTGTAGCACACAGGCTTCGTTGCTCCACTGCATGTGGGATCGTCCCGAGCTAGGAATAGAGCCAGTGTCTCCTGTATTGGCAGGCGGACTGTTCGAGCCACCGGGCATGCCCTTCCACTGTAATTTAGAGTTGAGAAACTGCTGGAGGTTGTTTTCTGGTTCACCCAAGAAGGTAGAGTTGATCTGCAGGAAACAGGAGACACTGGATATCCAGTCATTGAGACTGGATGACGTCTTAGGCAATTACAAATTTTTCCATTTCATTGGAGCCCAGCATGGGGGTAAATTGTTCTGTAAATGTTGTTGTTGTTTAGTTGTTTGGTCTATTGCAACCCCATGGACTTCCTTTATACGTGAGATTTCCCAGGCAAGAATACTGGAGTGGGTTGCCGTTTCCTTCTTCAGGGATCTTCCTGACCCAGGTATGGAACCTGCCTCTCCTGAACTGGCAGGAGGATTCTTTACCACTGACCTGCTAGAGAAGCCCCTCTGTAAATGCATATTAAGTGATAAATTTGCAAACACCAGAAATCAAAATACCAATTTAGCCTAGCGTTTTGCATGGACTATAGCTGTGTCTGAGCGAATAGCTGAAAGGGCAAATGAAACAATTTGCGGCTATCCCTTTTGGGTGAAGTCAGAAAGAAGTTATAGCTATAGGCTTAACCTTAGGTGAGGGAGGAGGCTACCTATAGAAGGAACCAAACTCTTGGCATAGAGAGGTGTCAACAAAAAATGAGATATCAAAAGAAGATATTATTGTTTATATTTTGCTCTGGGCTCATTCCACTGAGTTCTTGGAAGTAAATGGAATATTAATCTTTGCCTTCCTGACAAGAAGTCCAAAGCAATCAGGAAGAATTAGATATTTTTTAAAAAAGTGTACAACTTTTAAAACATAATTCAGTCCAGTCTTAATTTACTCACTGAAGCCTCAGCAATTTGTTAAGGCGTGGTGGTGTGGATTTTTTCTTACTAGTTGTAAGAAAATCTCAGGGCTGGTTTCTCTCTGCTCACATTAGGTACAGGTCTCTGGGCACACACTGGACTGTGTTAAAAATAATTTGATCTAACTGAGGTTCATTTGATAGTCTCTAAAATATCTTTCAGGTCCAAGGTTCCATGATCACTGTGACATCATACCTTTTAAAAGCAGTAATTCCTGGGATGTCAAATGTAATGCAAGTGCCTAGATTTCTGAGAATCTGGTGTGATGAGTGCCTTCAGACAATTAGCCATATTTATAACATATTTTACTAATTATTAAATCTTTGCTAATTCTTCATTGTTCAGGAGAAACTATGTTAAGGAAATAAGTATTTTTACATAAGAAAATATTAAGAATAGAAGTGACAATCTAGAAATAAATTAATATACAAGCAATTTTTATTCACTGATTTGTATTAATCAATTAAAATTTAAATGAGTCACCTAAAATTGAATAAGTATGGAGGAGGAACACAGTTATGAGTTTACATAGTGACAAATACATCAATATTAATTAGATAAATGAAACTGATCAGATTTCTCTTGAAAGTAAACATGTATACATATCATGAACACAAATACAAAATACACAGAAAAATCTCTGTCAAACCACCTCTGCCAATCAGCATGTATATATGTTTATGCATAGAAAAGCTATATAAAGGCATAAAAGTAAATTTAATAGTCATGCTTTTTCTTTTATATTTTGATTAACTGCTAACTTTTTTTTTATAAAACTCTTAGTAAATTTAAATTAAAATAATTCACTGACCACTTTATATACTGGACTTATATGAGGCATGTTGGAAATGTTATTAGAAAAATGTCTGTTGGTTTAAAGCCATTTACATTTTTAGAGTCATATATTTTCCATATTAAAAAGACAATGGAGGTAAACTTTTCCATTGCTTTTCAATGATCAAATAATAACTTCTGTTTATTGTGAGAGATGCTGTTTATTTATAAGACCTATTGTGTTGGGTCTTCAGATGTCAGGGTTATTCACTGAACCCTGATTGCTATACCTTATAGATGTGAGAATGAAGGTTCCAGGTATTGTAGCCCCAGCACAGCTTTTGATGGAAACTATAAAAGAACACCCAGCCTCTGTGCGTGGCTCTAGATCTCAGTTACAAAACTGAAATATCGCAGATATGACCTGTCTCAGTTTGTAGTTCTCCCGCTGTTTATATAACCTTTCATCCAGATATGCATTTGGATATTACCTTGTTCCAAAATGGTCTCTAAAAGATCTAGAACCAAGTACATTGGGTTAAAAGTCATTTGTCTTGATAACTGAGATATAAAAGTGAAGATCAGGTTATTAAAAATCTGGTTTCCATGACTTTTATATAAAGGGCTGATTATTATTAAAAATCAGCATCAGTTTTAAATGGCCATGGAGCAAGCAGTTTTAAGTATTTAGACAAAGGATGTGGGCTTACAGATTCAGCCCCAAACAAAATAAAATATTTACCTTTGTTGAGAGTGTTGGCTTTAAAAGCATTTTTTCTTACTGTATCAAAGGGCATATTTTATACAAATCAAAAAAGGAAAATATAAACATAATGAACATTTATGAGATTAAAAGCTAACTACTTTCTGTAGTCTTGACCAAATATACACTCTAACCTAAAGAGAATATGCCTGAGTGGACTTAATATCCTGAAAAGTGAAAGTGAAAGTCACTCAGTCGTGTCTGACTCTTTGCAATCCCATAGACTGTAGCCTGCCTGGCTCCTCTCTCCATGGAATTTTTCAGGCAAAAATACTGGAGCGGGCTGTCTTCTCCAGGGGATTTTCCTGACCTAGGAATTGAACTGGGGTCTCCTGCGTTGCAGGAAGTTCTTTGCTGTCTGAACCACTAAGGAAGCCTAAATATAATGCAGATGCTGGTTTCTATCGCTTGTAGATAAGAGAACAAAGCTAAATGCAAAATAATATGCATAAACATTTCTTTAAGAATATGAACTCATTTCTTTCAGACTTAGTTCTTTTCCTGTAGGGGTATAGGAGAAAGCAAAAAACCTAACAACAATAAAGCCCAGTTATTGGCTTTCTCCAAGATGATGGTACAGGTTGCCAAGCGGTGCAGTGAGAAGAAGCAGGTAGACCTGGATGTCATCTCGCTCTTGTGTGATGTGCAGTTTTAAAACCGCCGCTTAACTGTTCTGAGCCTTGGTAAACTGAGGTAATTCTTAATCTCCCAGGTGTGTCACATGTAATCTCACACGGTAGGGTTTCCCAGGTGGGCGCCAGTGGTAAAGACAGAAGATACAAGATACAAGATACAAGAGATGTGGGTTTGATCCCTGGGTCGGGAAGATCCCCTGAAGGGAGGGACGGCAACCTACCCCAGTATTCTTGCCTGGAGAATCCCATGGACAGAGGAGCTTGGCAGGCTATAGTTCATAGGGTTGCAAAGAATTGGATACAATTGAAGTGACTTAGCACCGATGCAATCTTACTTGTTATATGTGTTCATTACATATAGTCATGCTATATGGTCATGCTAACAGGTAGGGCTGATTCTTGGAGGCATTAGCTTAGACCATATGAAATTGACATTTTTATAGATTTAAAAAATGGCCAAATTTCAGATCTCATTGTAAGGTGGTCCCACCTTAGGAACCTCAGGGGCACTGTTACAGTGAGGCCATAGTGTACACGGCAAGGTCAATTTCCTTGGTGAGTTTTCACCTGATGATCAGGGATGGCCATATTAAGCAGTGACTAGTTTATAAGATACTGGAAATAACATCCACAGCCATGGAACTCTGATCTCTTTGACTATCACACTTCCTAATGTCTACACAGTCAAATATTTTATGTGTCACTAAGGTTAGCATGTTAAACTCACTGCATTTGAGTGGTTACAGCACTGTTTCTGAGTCGCGGGGACACAAGAATCATGGACCACAAGCAGGCTAAAGCAGCCTGCTCTTTCTAATAATACCAATAACATAGGCAAGCCTGTCTATATATTTTTTCTATTTTTTAAAAAGAATTTTAATTGGAGAATAATTGCTTTACAGTATTGTGTTGGCTTCTGCCACACAACATGAGTCAGCCACAAGTGCACACACGTCCCTTCCCTCCTGAACCTGTCCCCCCAACCCGCACGCCCATCTCACCCTCTAGGTTGTCCCAGAGCACGGGGTTAAGCCCCCTGTGCCCACACGGGGGGTTTCCACCAGCTCTCTACTTTACACACAATAGTACACATATGTCAGTGCTACCCTCTCAATTCGTCCTACCCTCTCCTTCCCCGCTGTAGCCAAAGTCTGCTCTTTACTTCTGTGTCTCTACTCCTGCTGCGCAAATAGGTTCAACAGTACCTTAAAAAACTAGGACTAAAACTACCATATGACCCAGCAATCTCACTGCTGGGCATATACCCTAAGAAAACCATAACTGAAAAAGACACATGTACGCCAATGTTCATGGCAGCACTATTAACAATAGCTAGGACATAGAAGCAAACTAGACGTTCATCAGCAGAGGAATGGATAAAGAACTTGTGGTACACAGATACAATGGAATATTCAGTTCAGTTCAGTTCAGTCGCTCAGTCATGTCCGACTCTTTGCAACCCTGTGAATCGCAGCATGCCAGGCCTCCCTGTCTATCACCAACTCTTGGAGTCCACTCAAACTGATGCCCATCGAGTCAGTGATGCCATCCAGCCATCTCATCCTCTGTCATCCCCTTCTCCTCCTGCCCCCAATCCCTCCCAGCACCAGGGTCTTTTCCAATGAGTCAACTCTTCACATCAGGTGGCCAAAGTATTGGAGTTTCAGCTTCAGCATCAGTCCTTCCAATGAACACCCAGGACTGATCTCCTTTAGGATGGACTGGTTGGATCACAAATTTTTACTCAGTCATAAAAAGGAGGCATTTGAGTCAGTTCTAGTGAGGAGGATGAAGCTGGAGTCTGTTATACAGAGTGAAGTAAGTCAAAGAGAAAAACAAGTTTTGTATATTAACACATATATACAGAATCTAAAAAAATGGTACTGTCTGGACTTTTATGATCCATGTACTCTCCTCAAAGCTCTGTTTCAAGATGTTTTCCATTGTTGGTTTCCTTCTCAGTCACTCTCCTTTGCACTTGAGACAGGTGTTTCTGGAAATTTCCACTCAGCAGGATGTAGAGAAAAGGGTTGATGCTACTGTTGGCATAGCTGGGACAAATGGAGAGGTGATATCTCAGATAGAAAGCCACTGAGGGCTGCTCCACCAGTAAGTTCACCAGTTGCATCACGTGATAGGGGGCGGTACTCAGGATAAAGATTGCCTCCAGCGCCAGCACCATCTTGGTCAGATTCATCACTCTCTGCCTTGGATCACTGGGATTGTAGCTGTATGGGAAAAGTTTGGAAAGACAGAACATAACCATAGAAATTATGGGCAATGATTTCCCAGAACTCTTTGGACAGTCCATAATAGCTCTGCAGTGAAATCCTAAGCTCATTTTTCTTCCTACTTATTCAGAGTGCTGTAAAAATACCCTTTTTCATCCCATTAAACATTTCCCTGATTTTCCAAAGCTGGAGAATTTTGAGAAACAAAATAAATAACAAAGGACTTAATTATAATCCAAAGTATCAAATAAAGATGTATGAATCTACACTGATATAAATAATTGAATAATATGTGGGAGAAGAGACAAATCTTCTTTACAGAAAAATTCCAAATAATATATACAGATATTCCCCTTTCCAGGGGTCCAAGGTTAATTCTCACACTCCTCCTTTTCCCTTTGAGGGTAGACTATACTTAATGACTCATTTTCAAATAATAGAATAGAGGAAGAGATGAATACTAATTTTGTATCAGAGAAGCCTGGCAAATACTTCCTTAACCAGGTGATCAAGATTAACATCAACAGAGCTGTCATGTAGTTATCACACACCCCCTGACATGTTGTGAGGAGAAGACTTCTCCTAAAATACGTAACTAAAGTCTAATCTTGATACACTATCAGTCAAACCCAGATTGGGGGACATTCTACAGGATACCTACTCAAGTGCTTACTTAAGATTATCAAGGTTGTGAAAAACAAGGAAAGACCAGAGGAGACAGCTAAATGCAGTGTGATCTCCTGGACTGAGTCTTGGAGCAGAAAGTGGACTTTAATGGTAAAACTGCTGCAGTTCAATACAGGGTAGAGTTTAGTTAGTAGAAATATACCAATGCCATTTTCTTTGTTTTGACAAGTGCATCATGGTAAGATGTTAAGGGGGAAACTGGGTGAGGAATATATGGAAACTCTCTGTCCTATTTTTGCAACTTTTCTGTAAATTTAAATTTATTCTAAAATTAAAAAATACTTAAAATTTCCAAATTTTGTCCTGTTCTGTCATATTGAGACAGTTCATAGAGATTTCTCTGGGACATGACTGAAACAGATGAATAAGCCTGGAGAATATTATAAAATAAAAGCATGGTAGCTGAAAGTCATTCTGAGATAGTGATTCTTCTGCAGCTCATCAGAGTAGGCTCCATTATTCCTCTAACTTATTGCCTTTGAAGGATAACTGGACAGTATGAACTTTTTTCATAAGATGCTCTTAACATTTCTGAGAAAAGTGTTAGGAGCAGAGTGATCTGATTTGGAGAACTGTTTTAAAAGAGCTTGAGTATCCTCTCCAGCTGTCAATGTCATAATATTCCATATGCTTCCATTTCAACCTTTTCACCAACTCAGCTCCCCATGATACATTTAGAAACTATCTTTTTCCTGTAACTGTGGCTGCTTCCTGTTCTCATTCTAAATAGACTACTTTAAAAATAATATAATATATCCAAATAATTTAAAGAAGTCAATAAAAATGTCATGGGTCAATAGACCACCTAAACCTCTGGTACCAGGTTCTGCCACAAATTTTTACTAATGGTGGTAAGATAGTTCACATATTCTTTTTTTAAAAAAACCTTTACCATGTTATGTATCATGTATGCAGAAACCCAGCAACTTGTCTTTTCAAAAGAAATACAATGATATATTCTAAAGACAAATTTTAATAATGATCTATAACCTAACATATAATCACTGACTCATTTGAACAACTTGATATATACAATTTCAGTGGAAAATAATTTAGATTTATTCATGTAGCTTTAGAGATAAGTTCATCTAAAGGCAGACTTCCCCAGGGGTTCAGTGGTAAAGAATCCACCTGCAAATGCAGGAGACGTGGGTTTGATCCCTGGGTTGGGAAGAGCTCCTGGAGAAGGAAATGGCAACCTACTCCAGTATTCTTGCCTGGAAAATTCCATGGACAGGAGGAGCCTGGTGGGCTATAGTCCATGGGGTCACAAAAGAGCCAGACACAAGTTAGTTACTAAATGACAAACAACAGCAAATATTTAAAGATCCTTCCTAAGTTTATTGTCTTTAGGTAAGTTTTTGGCTTTATTTAGTCTTAATTGACTTTATTCTAAGTATTCAAATATTAATGAAATCCTGCTTTTCTACACTAAAAATTCACAAAAATGAAAAGGCTATAAATTATACACAATATCTAGGATCTTTATATATGTACACAACTCTGCAAAATGTACAAATAAAACATTTAAATAACAGTGCTGATGACATTCATTTTTATGAAACCATTACATCATTAATTTCAATATTTATCACTGAGAGATCCTCAAATAGCTGCTTCAGAACATGACTTGTTTTCTGAAAATGCCTTATATAGACATTAATGCCTATATGTCTGAGCTTGGCATGTTTCAAGTGACTGTTGCTTAAGTTTGTTTTGTAGATATCATAGAATTCTGAATTGTTCTTTTAACAAATAAGGCATACACTTACCGTCTTGCATCCTTATTCTGTTGATACATGTCCCAAGTATAGCATAAAATTAAAATATAGTGCATCAAAATCAAGGGCAAAGAGAAAAAGAAACTTATTATCATCAAATACAGAGTATACCTATAAAATGAGAGAGAGGACATGACTGTTACATTCACAATGCTAGAACTGACTTTCACAGTTTATGATTCTCTGATTTTTCAGGGCCCAGAATAACAGTGCTTGGAGCAAAAGTTAAGGATCTCTGGGTCTTTTCACATCCAGAGGTGTGAAGTTATGCTTTTCATTATTCACAGACAACGACTCTTCCCTCACCAGCCCTTCTCAGCAGCCAACGCTACTGAGTACAGAACTAGTGAGTGTGCTTATTATTGTTATTATATTTAGTGTTATTAGCAACAAGAGGCCACAGTTCGCATTTGTTCTGTAGCAGGCGCTGTTCTGGGTGCTTTACTTATTTTAACCCACTGAATCTGTGCATCCCGATGAATACAATGTCAGTAGCATCTTCATTTTGCAGAAGAGGAAGCTAAGGCACAGGTTACAAGCTGAGTAAGTTACGTGGCTTGCCTATGGTTACTCACGTAGTAAGTGGCAGAGGTGAGATTTAAAGCCAGATGTCCTCTCAATGGGCACCCAGGAGGTGGGTGTGCATGCTTACTTGCTCAGTCTTTCTGACTCTTGTGACAGCAGGCACTGTAGCCCGCCAGGCTCCTCTGTCCACGGGATTCTCCAGGCAAGATTACTGGAGTGGGCCGCCATTCCCTTCTCCAGGGGAATCTTCTCTGCCCAAGGATGGAACCCAGGTCTCCTGCAGATTCTTTATCTTCTGAGCCAGCAGGGAAGCCCCAGGAGGACCTGTTGTCAAATCAGCTATTATTTCCCGATCCTCCACCAGGGGGAGCTCTTGCGTGCGCCAGCTCCGTTTCTGCAGAGACACCTGGTGTCCTTCCTGGCACAACTCTGGGGTCCTGTGCTATATGCTCTGCTTAGTCCTCGGTCGTGTCCGACTCTTTGTGACCCCATGGGCTGTAGCCCTCCAGGCTCCTCTGTCCATACTCCAGGCGAGAATACTGGAGTGGGTTGCCATGTTCTCCTCCAGGGGATCTTCCCGACCCAGGGATCAAACCTGGGTCTCCCACATTACAGGCAGATTCTTTACCATCTGAACCACCGGGGAAGTCCAAGCGCTCTGGAGTGGATAGCCTATCCCTTCTCCAGGGGATCTTCCCGACCCAAGAATTGAACGCGGTCTCCTGTATTGTAGGCGAATTCTTTACCAGCTGGGCTACCAGGCAGGCCCTGGAAGAAGGCAACCGGGATTGGGTGGGTGTGGACAGGGTGGCAGAGAAGAGCTCTGGGACCACAGGGCTTCTGAACATAGCACGCTAGTCCCAGCCTTTCGTTCGTCTTGAGGACTTAATTCTGAGAGAAACGATAGAGGCTGAAACCTCAGAATGTCCCTTACCATAACCAGCATTAAGGAGCAGAACCAGCTGTAGGTGCAAAATAGTTAGTTTTTGTTTATTCGACACAGGCCGAAGTCTTGTAGTCGCAGGGTGAGCTTCAGGTCCCGCCCTCCTTTTAGACAGGTGGGGCCCAGGTTAATCTATCAGCCCACCATGATTAAACCTCACTTCTCCTTGAGATGGGCTGATGGATTCTGTCTGTGAGTGGAGCCAGCGCTGGTGTGAGAAATAGCAAATAAGCATGGTATTAATTTCACTGTTGCACTCCTCTGGAGATTTCTTGCTGCTGGATTCTTGGCCTTGTCAGGCCTCTGGCTCCATCCCTCTGGGGCTGTGTCTGTGTGATGCAGAAATGCCTCGTCTGTCTGACAAGTGGTGGTATAGGAAAAAGGAATCTGCCAGACTGACTCGCCATAATTCATGTAAAAAGCACCAGCATAATACCTGGCCCTTAGCAGGAGATCAAAACATTTTAGTTAGGGGTTCCAAATGCTCTGCTGAAAGTTTCAACTAGAAAAATTTTGACCTGGGTTCGATCCCTGGTCCAGGGAAACCCCACATACCTTGGAGCAACTAAGCCTGCTAGCCTCAACTACTGAGCCCTTGTGTGTCTAGAGCCCATGCTCCTCAAGGAGAAGCCGCCGCAATGAGAAGCCTGTGCCCCGAACCTGGAGAGTAGCCCCTACTCTGCAGCTAAAGAAAGCCCATATGCAGCAGCAAAGACCCAGCACAGCCGAAAATAAATACACGAATCTATAAGCAATTAAAACATAAGAAGTGCCCGTGTAGGTTGCTGTCCTGGTTTCCTAGAACTGCCCGTGACAAATTACCACACGCCGGATGGCTTCACATGACAGAAATTTGTCTTTCAGTTCTAGAAGCTGGAAGTCTTAAATCAAGGTGTTGGCAGAGTTGTTCCTTTTTGAGGTTTTGAGCATGTGATCTCCCAGCCTCCCTGGAGTTGTATGGTCATGCTTGGTGTTCCCAGCTTACAGACACATCACTCCAGTCTCTGCTTCTGCATGCTCTCTGTGTGTCTCTGTAAATCTTCCTCTCCTTATCAGGCCTCAGTCACTGTATTTAGGGCCCACCCTAATCCAGTAAGACGTCATCTCAAATTGATCATATCTGCAAAGACCCCATTTCCATGTAAGATCATATCCACAATTGCTGAGAATTAGGACTCGGATAGATCTTTCCCAGGGACCTAACCAAAATCCAGCTGCATGTTGTTAAGGTTTGAGTCTCAGAACTCCAGACCCTTCTGTGATGTCCACCTGTCCCTTGATTGCTGTGTCCCCGTTGAAACTGGCCTGCATGGGTCTTTAAAATACATATTTAAATATAGTTGCACCCATTGAGGTTACATGATTAAGTGCAAAATTTTTTTCTAAAGGTTACCCCATCCTTAAAAAAATCAAACTATCGACTTGATGGTGGGAAGCAGAGAACTTCAGTGGAGGGACTGGCCCGAAGAGGCTCCCCAAGGACACTCCGTGTGGCTGCTCACATGTTCACAAGGAGGATGAAGCACTTCACAGCTTAATTCAACTCTATTTTTCTTAAGTTTTAACAACCTACCAGAGTACATCGTCAGGGGATGTTAAATCAAAAGCACAACTCTCAGCGCCGTCTTTAAATTTGATGACCTTCGAGTAGACCCAGACAGGCAACACCAGAATGAAGGAAGCTGCCCTGAGGCCCAGATTGATGCAGATTGTCTTGTTCCTGGTTATCCAGCTTGTCAGTCGAAATGGCTGGACGAGAGCCAAGTACCTGCAAAGCCAGTGGAGAAGGGTTTGGGAACAATCAATAAAAGCACTGAGCTCCAAGGATGAAAGGTTCATGACAAGAGTAAATTATTAGTATTATGATCCTCCCTGAAGCACACCTCTATCAGGGTGAAAGAAAGTTATATTTTTTAAGAGCTGGCCGGTACTTGTAGAGAAAACAATTCTTGACCCTGTAAGTCTGAATAAACCACTCACTGATACACAGCAGTCACTTCCATAAAGACCCTGAAAAACTCTGCCATGCAAACTTTTTTAGGTTTGCTGACCCTTTTATATTTATTTATTTATTTGGCTGTGCTGGGTTTTAGCTGTGGTCTCAGTTGTGGCACATGGGATGTGGCATGCGAGATCTTTAGTTGTGGCATCCAAAACCCTCAGTTGCAGCATGTGGGATCTAGTTCCCTGACTAGGGATCGAACCCTGGCCCCCTGTGTTGGGAGCACGGAGTCTCAGCCACTGGGACCACAGGGAAGTCCCATAACCCTTTTCTTTACAAAGGTGCTTCCCTTGTGCAGGAGGCTCTGGAAAACTGCCTCTGAATGAGGGCAGGGAGATTCCCTCCAGATGGGAGTGGCCTGCTTCCCAGGAAGGTGTACGGATGTAGGGCAGGAAGGAGGAAGGAGCGATGGCTGGTGAGAGGATCCCCAGCAGCATGAGGTTCAGGCCCCTGGGACAGACATCCTGCTTAGATGGCGTTAGAGTCAGGGCCAAAGGCTCTTAGACATTCAGGTCACAGAACGAACAGTGAGAATAATCAAACATGCCTAGCACAGACAATGCAAATCCCTCAGAGAACTGAAGCTTGAGGCTGATGGGGGTGTGGAAATGGATTAATTTCATGGGGAAAGGGTTCTCTTTTTCTTTTTTTCCCCCGTTTTGATCCAGAAAAAAAGATAATCATTAATTAGACTTGAAAATCCTGATAGAGCAAACATGTTTGGTCCTCCAGCATATCCAAGAATGATTTTTCAGAGACAAGCTAAAGTATGAAAAAGAGAGCTCAGATCCAGAGGAGGGGATTTGAGAAAGCACAGTTTTGAGGGGCCTGGGGGCTATAGGAAAGCAGGATTAGTGGGCATTCAATAAATGTGAAATATGGTCTATGGTCCATTAATTTTCTCCAAGATTTTGTAGAGCTACTTAATGAAGATTTATGAAAATGGAAGTCTCTCTCTCCTCGCTTTTCAATTCTGCACTCAGTTAAGGGAGCCCTTGCAGGGACAGACTTGTGGCCCCGGGTACCTCAGCCACCCCTCCTTCCCCACACTGCACCTGCGTTACCAGTCACCTGTCGCTAAGGAGTCAAACTCCCCTTCCCTCCCTGCTGAGGCAGGGAATAGGTAGTGATTGTAAGCAGCCCCTCCATCTTTCTGTCTGGGATTAGACAATGGAGTCATGGCATCAGTGGGTTAGGGAATGGTCTCTGATGACCTTCCCAGCTGAAAATCCTTCAGTGACTTTTCTTTGCCTTTCAGATAAAATTCAGAGTTCTTACCATGACTCTTGAGGTCTTTTTCCACCTGGCCTTCCTGTCACTTAGGCTGAAGTTTGTGCCCGTCTCTGGCCTTCGCTCAAGTTCTGTGTCTTGCAGTACCAGGCACCTGCTATTCAGCCCATCTGGCAGGACCTGCCTCTAGTTCCTGCTGCCTTTCCTATCATCCCCATTAGGTCTCCCTCTTGGAGAAGCTTCCCCTGACCACTCACTCACTCTATACAAGGGCTCATGACTATAAATTTGGATTTTAGGGGACTCTACTTTTCCTTCCTAGGATGTATCATTGTGTGGAAATAGTAATATATATTTACCCATGTGACTTTTCACAGAATGTCTGTCTACACCTCTGGAATGGAAGCACCATGACGGCAGGAGCCTTGGCTATTAGTTTAATGCTGCTGCAGCTCATGTGTCTTGCATGGTTCCTGGCATATGGTCCCTGCTCAATACATATTTGTTAAATGAATGAATAGGGAATTTTGGCTTCTTTTTACTGGCTTGGTTGTTGTTCAAGAAAATTTAATTTAAAAAGTAACCACTAAAAAAAAAAAACAAAATAAATGTAACCACTAACAAAAGTCTAGGTAGCTTTCACCTGGAGGCAAATATTTTTAATATTTTGGGTGTTTAAAATTTTTTTCATATGACTTTAAATGTATGAACCCACTATTAAAATATTTCACATACTTGCAATTATTAACTAATCAGAGAAAGGAAAATCAAAGAGTTTGGGGAAACACTTGATATTTATGGTCTACTGAATTGGAGATCAAACCAGTCAACCCTAAAAGAAGTCAACTGTGAATATCCGTTGGAAGGACTGATGCTGAAGCTGAAGCTGCAACACTTTGGCCACCTGATGCGAAGAGCTGACTCACTGGAAAAGACCCGGATGCTGGGAAAAATTGAGGGCAGGAGGAGAAGAGGAGAGAGGACAAGATGGTTGGATAGCATCACTGACTCAATGGACGTGAACTTAAGCAAACTCCAGGAGATGGTTAAGGACAGGCAAGCCTGGCATGCTGCAGTCCATAGGGTCACAAAGAGTTAGCCATGGACTTAGGGACTGAACAAGTTGAAAATTAAAATAAATGTATAAATAATACCACATACTGATGGCACTGACATTTAGTTTTGGTATTACAGAGAAAACTTCATTTCTGTTTTACAAAATTACACATTTCCTTGAATTTTTATGAATTTAGTAGAGTTAGAACTACAAGAAATTCCAGAGGCTGGGAAAAAAGTTCAGTGTTACAAAATCTTCATTTGTCTCTGGCTATGTGATCCTCTGGGAGAAAGATAAAGGCCTGAGTATCTTTATTTGAAAGTAAAACCTTAGCATTTTGTGCCCATAAGTTTAAAAAAAAAATACATGCTATTCAATTGTGTAAGATACACACACACACACATATACACACTCAGAAAAACCCTGTGAAGATTAGGAAATGTTCTGTGGTCTGTTCTAAGGCAGACAATCGCTTTATTTGCAGTAAGAGGTTTACAGAAGAGGTTCAGTTTCCCCTCTTAAAAGAAAAAGCCAATACTCTCTGCCTTCATGGTACGTATGCGGTATGAAGAAGCTTTTCTTCTTCTGAGAATGGGATCACAACAGTGAGGCTCGTACTTTCAGCTGCTTCTCTGCAGTGCTTCCTGCCCTGCACAGGGCCCTGGCCCTGGTGTTGGAACCCTAAACTTACCAGGCTTTATTCCACACACTGTGAGCTTTGGTGGCATCAGCTGAACTAACCAGATCTACCTACCTAGCATGTAGATTAAAAAATGTGATGTTAATTGTAAGTTGAGAAATATACTCTGCATATTTTGAGAATTCTTTTGTAGAAAAGCAGCAGGATTGAAAAATGCATTAAACATTACCATCATTATTCATGCCTGAATAATAATGATCCAGCAAATTTGATTTATAGGAATGCTGCTATTCCTTTGTTCAGCCATCTGATGAACTGCTTATACCTTCCCAACCCTAAAAGGCCCTGTTGGAAGGGTAAAAGAGGCAGAGCTCAAGAAAGAGTCCTCCATGGACTCAGAGAAATTTAAGACTAACATTCATTCATTCATAATAGTGTTTGTGTGCCCATATGCCAGGCACTGTTACACAGACACTCGGAATGTACTAGTGATCAAAGACCCTGCTTTTGTGTAATTCACATTCGATGGGTGGGGGAAGCTAGACAAGAAACAACGCACACTTATCTCTGTATACCAAGGAAATTGAAGTCTGTGATATGTTCAGAGCAAGAGAGAAAGAAAAAGTAGATCAGAGCAAGAGGAACTAAGTGTGCTGGGTTGGGACTGGGGTGGAAAGAAGGTGGATGGAGATTTTTACATGGGTTTTTCTTTGAGTGGGCGAATTACTGTTGTGCTTTTTACTGTTGTCTTCAGGATTTGTTTCTGTTTGGGGCATGCTGCTAAGACCTGGTGTGAAAGTCCATACCATCTAGATGTCACAGGGAACATCCTAACACCCTAGCTCACATGCTTCCTACAAGAAGTCAGATGGTGAGGTAGTTGCCAGCTACCTGCCATCTCTAGAGTTGGACAGCCTGGCACTGAACTGGGCTTCACCACTCACTGGCTCCACAAACATCTCACCATCACCATCATCTCCTTGAGTAACATTAGCTTACGAGTTTGGTAAACATGGCTATGACATGTTCTGGGATTGTTGTTCAGTTGCTAAGTCGGGTCCAACTCTTGGCAACCCCACGGCCTGCAGCACTCCAGGCTTCCCTGTCCTTCAGTATCTCCCCAGGTTTGCTCAAATTCATATCCACTGAGCTGGTGATACAGTCTAATCATCCAATCCTCTGTTGTTCCCTTCTCCTTTTGCCTTCAATCAATGTTCCGGGATATGTCTGGTGATGTAAAATGGCAGCATTAGCATTAATTGATCTTAATAGTGAGTGTCAAGGATGGTCTTCTTGTAACTCTGACTTCTCTTCATGGTCATAAAGGAGCCCTCTATTCCATGTATTCTCTAAAGCCGCTAGGTGATAACAAGGGTCTGTGAGATGTAGAACTTACCAGAAAGAACCCTGAACAGGGAGTGAGGAGAGCCACTTCAGTTATCAGCTCTGCCACTGACTCTGTGTGTCTTTAGCCATTTCCGTTACTTCTCAGGACTTTGGCTGCCTTCTTGCAATAATGATGGGCAGGCGTGGAGGGAGTGAATTCATTCTGGTTGCTAGTATTTCATGATTTTGTGGGCTTTTTTCTTGCAGTCAATTGTAAATAAAACTGAGTTGGAAAGAATGATTGGGGAAGAGGAAATGTTCAGTGTTTTAAGTTTTCCATTAAAAAATGGACCTCTGTGAAAGTTGGCAAAATATTAACTTGTTTGTCCTACAATGAAACAAATGAATGGAGAGGAGCTTTGCTATTACAAACCAGCACTGATGTTGCTGAAATTGGGATGACCTCGGGGAAGTACAGGAACCTCTAAATTAGGTTGAGATATTTCAGAATCTCTTAACTTACCTGTCCACACTCATTACAGTCATGATGGCACGACAGGCAAGCTGGTTGCAGGTATCCAGGGATGTGATGATCCTGCAGAGAGGACCCCCAAACACCCACTGTCCTCCTCAGGCCCACTGGTAAATAAGAAATGACATTCCAATGATGTGGACCAGATCAGCCACAGCCAGGCTACAGATAAAAATGTCAGGAATAATTTTTTTTTCCTGGACCTAAAAGACATGGAGGATTGACATTGAGAGGGTACACCTTCAGTTTATGCCATCTGTTAACAGATTTTTCAATTGCTAAAATTAAGTTTAAAAGTTAAAAGGAAAGCACCACAAATGCACATATGAATGCCTTGTCTTGTGTATATTCAAGTATTTTAAACTATTTGTTTGATAACTGCCTGCCTTGGTTTAAAAATATGTCCACAAATTCTTTGATATTGCTTTCAGGAAGGTGTGGCCCAATTCCCTCCCTTTGAGAGTGGATTGAACTTAGTAACTCACTTTTAGTGAATAGGATGTGGTGGAATTGAGAGTATGACATTTGAAATTTGGACATAAAGGTACGGAGGGGTTTTCTCCTTGCTATCTCTTGGATTGCTTTCTCTGGGGGAAGCCAGCTGCCCTCTTGTGAGATAATTCAAGTATTACTATAAAGAGGTCCACGTGGAAAGGAAGCGAGTCCTCCTGCCAACAACCAGCACCAGCTTGCCAGATCTGTAAGGGGGCGACCTGGGGATGGATGCTCCAGTCCCAGCCAAGCCTTTGGATGGTCATCTAAAAATGCACGGCTCGACTGCAACAGCGAGAGAGACCCTGAGCCAGTCACCCAGCAACGCTGCTCCTGACCTGCAAAACTGTGTGAGAGAACAAGTGTTGATTGTTTTAAGCCACTGTTGTTTTTTTTTAAATATAACATAACCACGTTTATTTAAGAATGCATTCCAATATCAAATGGCAAAGTTCAACAATGCAAAATTGAAATTATTTTTGCCCCAACATAATAATTTTACACATGGTAATACACATGTTTCAGTGCTACTCTCTCAATCCCACCGTCTCCTTCCCCTGCTGTATCCATTAGTCCATTCTCTATGTCTGTGTCTCCATGGCTGCCTTGAAGATAGATTCATCAGTACCATCTTTCTAGATTCCATATATGATATTTGTCTTTCTCTTTCTGATTTACTTCACTCTGTATAATATGCTCTAAGTTCATCCAGCTCATTAGAACTGACTCAAATATGTTCCTTTTTGTGGCTGTGATATTCCATTGTGTGTGTATATATGTATATATATATATACCACAACTTCTTCATTCATTAATCTGTCAATGGATATCTAGACTGCTTCCATGTCTTAGTTATTGTGAATAGTGCTGCAGTGAACATTGGAGAACATGTGTCTTTTTCAGTTATGGTTTCTTCAGGGTATATGCCCCGTAGTGGGATTGTTGTCATAGGTAGTTTTATTCCTAGTTTTTAAGGAGTCTCCATACTGTTTTCCATAGTAAGCCACTAAGTTTTGAAGTAATTTCTACACAGCAACAAATTATACCAACTCTAAACTCATTCATGCCGAAGACTGGATTTACCTATCCCTAGTATCAAATATGGAGAAGGCAATGGCACCCCACTCCAGCACTCTTGCCTGGAAAATCCCATGGATGGAGGAGCCTGGTAGGCTGCCGTCCATGGGGTCACTAAGAGTTGGACACGACTGAGCGACTTCCCTTTCACTTTCATGCATTGGAGAAGACAATGGCAACCCACTCCAGTGTTCTTGCCTGGAGAATCCCAGGGACGGCGGAGCCTGGTGGGCTGCCGTCTATGAGGTTGCACAGAGTTGGACACGACTGAAGCGACTTAGCAGCAGCAGCATCATCAAATACAGTTAAACAGGAAAAATAAATGTTTCCACTGTGCAATGTGATTTTTTTCCCTCCACTGAAGCTGTTAAGTTCAAATCTCAACTGAAGCCATTGTTAAAAAAAATTTCAACCATTATATAGAAAGATTCCAATAAAATCTAACTCAAAGAAAAGCCTATTAATTAAGACCCCTTGAAATCCAGACTGTGTAGAGTAGACATATGAAATGATTGAACAGGTGGTGAGAGAGCTTTCCATTCTCCTGTTTGGGAAAATGAAGGCAAAAGAATTTTCTGAGAGCAGAAATTTTAAGGTAAAATTCACTTGATCCCTATTGTCAGAGTTGGGACATTCAGTAATAAACATGTATTACTTTTATCTAGGAGATATTATTTATTAATTCAACAAATATTTTATTGAACACCAGTTATATGTCAGGCATAATATTGTGCTTTGGGCTGCAAAGGTAAATAACCTATAAACCCTAATATCAAGAAGCTTATAGTCTAAGCATAGGTAAATAAGTGATGACTTTACAATGTTATGAAAGAAAGCTAGAAAAAGCACAAGGAGCACATAAAAATAGTCTCTCCTCTCTCCTCTGGGGGTGGTCAAGGCATATTTCTTGGAGGAAGTGGCATATGTACTGAGAACATATAAAGATTTAAATAGCACAGAAGAATCAGCCTGACGATTACACCACAATTACTAGTTCACTCTGGATCTGGTGCTATTGCTTTCTTATTTGAAAGCTAGTGGGTGTCTTCGTTATCGAGAGCCCACAAATTCTACAGCCTGTGAACTTTACATCTAAGCCATCAAAGGCTCATGTGGGGCATCAGTCAGGGCCAGGATATTTTACCCAGGCCCTGGCCCCACACACCACGTGAGGAAGCTTCTGCCATCAAATCCTTACTCAGCAACACACTCTGGGCATTGTTGAGTGACTCATATCAGAAAAACCAAGAAGAAGAGTGTTGAGGAAAAAATCATGTCAACCAAAAGAGCTGCTAGTGGCTGTTCTTGGTCTCTAACCCTTTGTGCCCTCCAGGTTTTCCTCCAGGAGAAGGGTCAGTGCGGAGGAACTGACACTAGAGGTCAGCTGGGAAGAAAAAGCAGAAACACAGTAATATAAAATCCTATAAATCTTAGTCTGTTAAATAGATGTTGTTTCCATTTGAATTGGGATATAACCCATAAGTGGTTGCATAGGTCCTAATGCAGCAATTAGACCTGTTACCCTTGCTCTCCTTCAGACAGGTGCCCAACATTGACTGATTAGGAATTATGGTAATTCCTTTGTTGAGGATCGTGCAGGTCATTGCCTGGAAATTCAAAAGAATTAAATAAAGTGTTTCTAGATGACACTGTCTATAGCAAAAGAGAATTCTGAAGCAAGTGATATATTTATCTGGTCATAGATACTAGGGCAACAAGTTTAACACATCCTATTATTGCTTTTTTTTAACTGAAAGTAACAACATACAAATTAAAAGTAATTAAATAGGAATGGTAAATTTTCTAAGTATATAACCTGTATTCTCCTTTTAGGTCTAATTAATCTTCAGATTTCCTGTTGTCAGACTTCATCAGATTTCTGTTTCTTACGAACCAAACATTTAAAATAAAAAGATGTAAACCAATGATCACTTCAGCTAACATGTTTTCTATATGGTTAATATGACTGTGTCTAAATATGATAAACTAAGGTATACCACAATACCATGCAATAAATGATATTGTTCAGTTGCTCAGTCGTGCCTAACTCTTTGCCACCCCATGGACTGCAGCACACCAGGCTTCCCTGTCCTTCACTGTCTCCCAGAGTTTGCTCAAACTCATGTCCATTGAGTCAAGGATGCCATCCAACCATCTCATCCTCTGTCACCCTCTTCTCCTCCTGCCCTCAATCTTTCCCAGCATCAGTGTCTTTTCCAATGAG